TTCAAGCCTTGAAATTGACGTAGCGCGAGAATTCTGGTCTTCTAGCGACAGACTCGCCGTTTTCAAACTCAACAGTACATGGCTTTAGCCATCCCCTGTATTTGATCAATCAAATTTTACTCAAATACGCGTGCTTCAACATTCACACTAAATTCAAACATAATTGTAATTCTATTCTTTAATCTAATAGTATACAAACATAGTTATAAATACACAAATAAGAAGAGAATCATACGTATAATTTATCTATATATTACACATTTCACATGAGCGATAGCCAATTTTTACTATATCATTGATCCATTCTGGAACCTCGTTGACTCATTCCATAATCTTGTTGACCCATCTCTCGTTGAACCTCGTTTACCTCGTTGACCTCCCGACCTCGTTTGTCTACATTATCCTTCCTGGATATTCAAGTTTTTTTAAAATATATATATATTCAGGTCACGTTTTAAAAAGAAAAAAATTGAATAGAAAAACAAGAATTACTCAAGAGATTCGTTTATATCATTCGAAGGATAAATGTCAGCATCTAAATAGCTATTTCCATCAGTAAAATCGACAGAATCGGAATTTTCAACATTAGATTCGAGGTCACTATCATTAGAGTCTTCATGAGCGTTAACAATTGAAATATAAATAATAGAAAAACAATTCCGAAGAGTAAAAAGAAGGGAATTTTGAAAAAATGCATAATGGAAAAAGTTTTTCACAAGATTATATGATGATATACTTACGAGTTCTACGAAAAGGTGGTAAGCGAGACTATATATATATTTTTTTGTGCATAATTTTAAGTAGGTAACTTTGTTCGAGAGATTTACTAATCTAAAAAGCTTAACGCAGCCTGTAGACAAATGATGGAACGTATAGTTAATGCCAACACTAATTCAATTCTTTTGAGCTAATTTATAATAACTTATCAATGGTAAAACAGTTTTTATCGTTATGCATTTAAAAAAAAATTTTTTTTTAATCTTCAAAAGAAAAATGTTAAAAAAAATAAAGGAAAACTTTTATTGTTAATGAATTAGTCAAAGAATTGTTTGGATCATGGTACACGTGATTATATACGAGAAAAATGATTTATTTATATATAAGATAAATCGATTACATAAAATTTTAAAGATAATACTATCTACTGTTACCAGAATTGTTGTTGTCGTTGTCGAACAATTTCTGGATTTTCAGACGGAGATGTTTCATCATCGATAACCGCCCACCCAATTACTGGATTAACCACGACTTCATCATCCGATTCTTTAAGAACTTCTTGATGTACAGCTAAAAATCCGGAGATGAATTTCTTTCTCTCACCACTTTCAACTTTAAATGGAATAGTAACTCTTCCGCTGGGTAACAGAGATTCATCCAACCATTTCTTAACAATCTCACCTGAGCTATCATAAGGGAAAAATGAAGTTACCCAACCAGTTAATTCGGGGGGACCACCGCAACCATACTCTTCTTTTGCAATTGATTTCCAGAATTTTTGATCAACTTCACCATTATAAGTTTCAATTAATTTTGATACGACTTTTCCTACACGATTAAACCAAAAGTCTAATTCTGGAAAGAGAGGACGAAGAGCATCCAATTTTTTTTGAATAAGAACCCAATCATCCGATGATCCTTTTAAAGTAACTTTAGGAATTCCACAAAAAATTCCAAGGTTATAAGAACAGCTATTTTTGGTGTTATCTAATAATGCAAGTCGGCTGGCGATCACGGAACTCGTGGTAGTAGTAGAAAAATTACATTGTAATAAAGATGGTAAATTAGTCCTCTTCATTTGTTTATCAGCCGCTTTCACAAGCTGACTAATACAATTAGGCCAATTTCCAACGAGACATTTTGTTTCCGGGTCAACGCTTAAAACGGTTTCTGTATAGATATCAATTTCTTTAGGTTTAATGAAACTGTTACGACTTGTCCCGGGGTTGAGCTTTATGTGATGACAAACGCCTTGGACTATAACCAACCATATATCATCAGGACTTAAGCATAAATGTTGATGACCATTATATGCTTGAAGGATGGCAGCTACAAGTCCATGATTACATTGCATTCGTTCTAACACCGAGTTATCGGTTAGATTATTACGTTCGAAATCTGTAGAGACCACATGAACCTTGGATTCATTGTAAAGGTTTGATATGTGAGATCTTATTGGTATGTGTGGTCGTACCAGTTTATCCGCTCTTAGATTGTTACCAAGTATTTGAGTTGAACCTAAAGGAATGCCTCTAGGTTTCAGTTTCATTTACGTTAATAAAGATGAGTTTGTAATAACTTTTTTTTTTTAAAGAAGATTTTTTTTCTCTATTATATCTGTTATCCTGTGGGAAAATTCTTTTCCCTATTAATGTATGGAGCGTATCACTACGGGCTATATTTATATAAAAACCTGAAGAATTATGTACGTATATACATTATCTTTAAATATAAAACTTTTCCAAATTGTACTTTTAAATTATTAATTAGAGAGATCATTTGATTACACAAAAATCGCCACATAATTTTAACACATAATCTGCCAATCATTCACAAATAAAACCGGTTAAACCCGGATTTAACCTATAAATGAACGTTACTCCCATTACTCACACGATAGCACGCGACATCTATTGATTTCAGAAAATTTTTTATACCCAATAAGAAAGATGTAGTACTCTAATAACTCTAAAATGTACAGATTTATTTATGCATTTGTTCGTAATTAAATTCGGATTTTTGAGAATTCAGAGTCCGATACGTATCTCAAGTATCACTGATCCGAATATATTTAAAATTTCAATTGTTTATACAGTTACACATGTTACACATGTTACGTATAATGCGACACAAATAGTGTTCCTGGTGTCCCTGCATTTTTAATCTTAGTGTTAGTGTTTGTACGTATAGATAAGATTCTTACCTACAACGGTTATGGTTACGGTTTCTAGTGATAGCTGTTAATATTAATTGAAAAAAAAAGTTTAATACGTACGTACCTTACACTAACAATTGTCTAAATTTAATTCGTAACAGATAAGGAAACATGTATATGTATGTATGTATGTATGTTACTTATAAATTTCTAAAAAAAAACCGGTAACTAGTGTTAGTAATTTCTGCGCGGAATGAGGTAATGGAATTACTGTACATACCGAAATCTTTGTTTAAATGATTGTTCGAATCTTAGAGAATGTGAGTCGGATGTGTAAATTAAAATTCTATTTATTTCTATTCGTGCAACATAACAAAGCTTGTAAGATAATGGTGCAAATAGCAGCTTAGCTAATTAACCATAGCTGCCGCAACAAATTTGGACCGTCAGATCCTCGATTTTGATTGGCTAACGGCCGAGGATCTTCGAAATTTTGGCCCACATTACAAAATTGGTTACTAATT